ACTTCATAGACTCAAAACCATGGTTACAAGAACAACTAAATGGGCTACTTTAAGGCAAGAAAGGCCCCTCAAATACACCAAATTTTAACATAACAATGGGACAAAATCCCATAACAATAATCTCTCTCAATGTCAATGGGCTAAACGCACCAATTAAAAGACATAGAGTGGCAGGATGGATTAGAAAATTGAACCCAACATTCTGCTGCCTGCAAGAAACGCATCTCAATAGTCAAAGCAAACACAGACTCAGAGTCAAAGGCTGGAAAACAATCCTACAGGCAAACAGCTCCCATAAAAAAGCTGGGGTAGCCATCCTTATATCAGACCACATCGATTTCAGAGTGAGGAAGGTCATAAGAGACAGTGAAGGCCATTTCTTATTGATCAGAGGATCTGTACAACAGGAAGAACTTACAATAATAAATGTATATGCACCTAATGAGAGACCAGCAAAGTACTTAAAACAACTACTCATAGATTTGGAAAAAGACATCAATAGCAACACAATACTAGTGGGAGACTTCAACACTGCTTTGTCACCTCTTGATAGATCAACCAGACTCAAGCTTAGCAAGGACATACTTCATTTGAGGGAAACAATGGAAGAAAGGGACTTAGTAGATATATACAGGACACTTCATCCACAAAAAGCTGAATACACATTCTTCTCAAGCGTACATGGAACATTCTCCAAGATAGACCACATGCTGAGCCACAAAACATGCCTCCATAAAATTAAGAAGGTAGAGATTGTATCAACAATCTTCTCAGACCATAATGCGCTGAAATTAGAAGTAAATCACACACAAAAACAGAAAACTAAATCAAACACCTGGAAATTAAACAGTGCACTATTGAACAACGAGTGGATTAGACAGGAAATCAAAGAGGAAATCAAAAGATTCCTAGAAACGAATGAAAATGAGAACACGAGTTACCAAAACTTATGGGACACAGCAAAGGCTGTGTTAAGAGGAAAGTTTATAGCTCTACAAGCATTCCTCAGGAAGGAGGAGCGAGCACACATAAGTAACCTAACCTCACAGCTTAAGAGCTTGGAGAAGGACCAAAAAAAGGAGCACAACCCGAACAGGAGAAAGGAAATAATAAAACTCAGAGCAGAGATTAACGAGATGGAAACCCAAAAAACAATCCGAAAGATCAATGAAACCAAGAGCTGGTTCTTCGAGAAAATTAACAAGATCGATAAGCCTCTAGCAAAACTCACAAAGAAAGGGAGAGAGAAAACCCTAATAAACCGAATCAGAAATGAAAAGGGGGTCATTACAACAGAAACCACAGAAATTCAGAGGATCCTCAGGGAGTACTTTGAGAAGCTTTATGCCACGGAACATCAAAACCTCGAGGAAATGGATAAATTCCTAGACTCCTACAGACTCCCAAGGTTGAACCAAGAAGACCTGGAATACCTGAACAGACCTATCACCATCAAGGATATTGAAATGGTAATAAAAAGTCTCCCCAAGCACAAAAGTCCTGGCCCAGATGGATTCACTAGTGAATTCTTCCAAATCTTTAAAGAGGACTTACTCCTAATGCTCTTTAAGCTTTTCCACGAAATTGAAATATCAAAAACACTTCCAAACAGTTTCTACGAAGCAAATATCACACTGATACCAAAAGCAGACAGAGATACCACAAAGAAAGAGAATTACAGGCCGATATCCCTGATGAACACAGATGCAAAGATCCTCAACAAACTACTAGCAAATAGAATCCAACTACTCATTAAAAAGATCATACACCATGACCAAGTAGGATTCATCCCAGGGATGCAAGGATGGTTTAACATTCGGAAATCAATCAACATAATCCACCATATCAACAAAAGAAAAGATAAAAAGCATATGATCATATCAATAGATGCAGAGAAAGCATTTGATAACATCCAGCACCCCTTTATGATGAAAACCCTAGCCAAAATGGGTATAGAGGGGACCTTCCTCAACATAATTAAAGCCATCTACCACAAGCCTACAGCAAGCATCATCCTCAATGGGGAAAAACTGAGAGCCTTCCCTCTAAGATCAGGGACGAGACAGGGATGCCCACTCTCTCCACTGCTGTTCAATATAGTACTGGAAGTACTTGCAATAGCGATTAGGCAGGAAAAAGATATTAAGGGCATTCAGGTAGGAAAGGAAGAAATCAAGCTCTCACTATTCGCAGATGATATGATACTCTACTTAGAGAACCCAATAACTTCCACCAAAAAACTCCTAGAAACAATAGACTCGTATAGTAAAGTTGCAGGTTATAAAATCAATACCCAAAAGTCCATGGCTTTCCTATACGCAAACAGTGAGAGAGAAGAAAGCAACATGAAAAAAACAATCCCATTCACAATTGTGCCCCAGAAAATCAAGTACCTAGGAATCAGCTTAACTAAGGAAGTAAAGGACCTGTACAAAGAAAACTACAAAACGCTACTTCAGGAAATAAAAGAGGACATGAGGAAATGGAAAGATATCCCCTGCTCATGGGTCGGGAGACTTAACATTGTAAAAATGGCAATACTACCAAAAGCATTGTATAAATTCAATGCAATCCCTATAAGGATACCCATGACATTCTTCAAAGAAATGGTGCAAACACTCTTGAAATTTATATGGAACAATAAGCCCCCACGAATAGCTAAAGCAATTCTTGGGAAAAAGAAAATGGGAGGAATCAACCTCCCGAACTTCAAACTGTACTACAAAGCAGTAATAATTAAAACAGTATGGTACTGGAACAAAGGCAGAACTGCAGACCAATGGAACAGGGTTGAATACACTGACATCTCTCCTCAATCATATGCTCATCTAATCTTTGATAAAGGTGCAAGTAATGTGAAGTGGAGTAAGGAAAGCCTCTTTAATAAATTGTGTTGGCATCACTGGACGGCTACATGCAAAAAAATAGGCTCAGAACTCTGCCTAACACCATGTACAAAAGTAAGATCAAAATGGATTAAAGACCTCAACATCAGACCAGAAACCATAAGGTACATTGAAGATAAAGTAGGCAAAACCCTCCATGACATTGAAGCTAATGGTATCTTCAAAGATGCCACGCCACTGGCCGAGCAAGTGAAAACAGAGATAGATAAATGGGACTATCTTAAACTAAGAAGCTTCTGCACCTCCAAATAAACAGTGACCAAAATACAAAGACAGTATACAGAATGGGAAAGGATATTCACCGTATACACATCTGACAAGGGGTTGATATCCAGGATATACAAAATACTGGTTAAACTCCACAAGAAGAAAACATCCAACCCCATCCAAAAATGGGGCAATGAAATGAACAGAAACTTTCTCAAAGAAGAAATCCGAATGGCAAAAAAAGCACATGAGAAAATGCTCTACATCATTAATCATCAGGGAGATGCAGATCAAAACCACAATGAGATACCATCTCACACCTCAGAGACTGGCCCACATTCAAAAGAACAAAAGCAACCGATGCTGGCGTGGATGTGGCGAGAAAGGGACACTCCTTCACTGTTGGTGGGAATGTCCACTGGTTCAGCCCTTCTGGAAAACAGTATGGACGATTCTCAAAAAATTAGAAATTGAGCTCCCATTTGACCCAGCAATACCACTCCTGGGAATATATCCCAGAGAGGCAAAAATGTATAGTCGAAGTGACATCTGCACTTGTTTGTTCATTGCAGCACTCTTTACAATAGCCAGAAACTGGAAGAAACCTGAATGCCCAAGAACAGATGACTGGTTAAAGAAACTTTGTTACATCTACACAATGGAGTACTATGTAGCTCTTAGAAAAGATGAAGTCATGAAATTTACATACAAGTGGTACAATATGGAAAGTATCATGCTAAGCGAAATGAGTCAGAAAGAGAGGGATAGACATAGAAAGATTGCATTCATCTGGGGGATATAAAGTAACAAAGTATGAGATTAATACCCAAGAATAGCTGAGATCAGCACCAGGAGGATTACTCCATAACTTAGAGGCCAGCCGGGTATCCTAGAGGAAAGGGCTGTTCAGATAGAGAAGGGAGCACCAAATAAAGGATGTTTGGAGGATCCTCCCAGGAGGGGAGATGCATGTGGAAAGTAGACTATGGACTGAACATGTTTGCCACTCAATGCCTCTTTTGCAGACCACAACTCCCAAAAGGAGAGAGAGAACACGGGATTGCCCTGCCACAGAGACAGGGGGGATGGGAGGATGGGGGTGGGGGGATATTATCCATGGTGGTGGAAAATGGGCACTGGTGGAGGGATGGGTATCTGATCATTGTATAATTGAAACCAAAGCACAAAAAATTGTAAATCTACAACTTTAAAAAAAATAAAATAAAATAAAGGGGAAAAAAAATAATAAATAAATAAATAAATATGGAAAAAAAAGGAAGTATTGAGACATCTTTAGTATTATTTTCATTCAATAACATTTTATACTTTATCAAGATTGCAAAGAGTATGAAGCATTATTTTCCCAAAGTGTCGATTCTAAAAAGTGTTAATGAACTCATGAACATATAAGAACCTCCTTCTTTGAAACACATCAGCAAATAGTGATCTGCACAGCCTCAGGAGTTTAACATTTTTAACCCTGTAGCCACATTTTTCAGTGGTATGAAAACATTTCCTAGTATTTCATGAGTAATACTCAGTTTAGATAAAAAAAAACAAACATTTTTGGGGGGGTCTTGGATACACCTGGTGATACTCATGACTTACTGTACTCAGAGATCATTTCTTACTGTACTCAGATCACTTCTTATGGAGTACAGAGGATAGACTGAGTTGCTGGGAATCCAATACAAGGATGCTATGTGCAAGGCAAACATCCTACCCATTGTACTATCTCTCTGATCACCTCAATTTGTTTTCTTAACTATATAATCTTCTACTCTATGTGTGTAAGTATAAAGACACATCACAGTTTGGGATTCTTGCACTTTTTTCAATGACAATGAATATTCCTTGACAGTACCCTTGTCCCGTTGCATCTGTTACCTGAATCCATGGCCATCTATCATTCTCTGCAGCCGTCCAGGCATTGATAAGCCCCTTTTTATTGAGACGTGCATAGTAGGGATACCATTTCTGAAGTCCAAAAAGAGCTCGGTGGGTAGATGAAGCTGTGATTTGCTGATTTGATATGATTCCGCCTTCTATACCCAGTGGGCCTGAACATTCTGGAAGCAAATATGGAAAAAAGAAATTTTATTAGAAATAATCCGTGTTCAAAATGTGGTGGCTAATTTTGTGGAAAATTAAAAAAAAAATTGAATTCTGCTGTAATGTCTATCTAGTTTACAGTTACATTATAAACTACTACATCAAGGAAACAATTTTTTAAAAAAAATTTTTATTAGTGAAACACCACGAGGTACAATTGTGATTTACAAACTTTCATGCTTGGGTTTCAGTTATACAATGATCGAGTACCCATTCCTTCACCAGTGCCCATTCTCCACCACCAATGATCCCAGTAACTCCCCACCCCCCATTCCATTCCCTCCCCTCCCTATCCCAACTCTGTAGTAGGGTATTCCCTTTTGCTTTCTCTTTTCTTTAGGGTGTTGTGGTATGCAATAGGCTTATTGAAAGGCCATAATGTTCAGTCTATAGTCAACTTTCAGCACGCATCTCTTATCCTGTGCGGATCCTCCAAACACCCTTTACTTGCTGTTCCAAGGAAACAATTCTTGCCCCTCTGACAAGCTTGTCTTTCTTTGCCTGATCAGAAATTCTTTTCTATATTACAACACTATATCCTATAATCTTAAAATTGATGTCACAAAAATTGTCATTCCCTTAACAGGCCTATCGCAGATTTTTTCTGCACAGATACTGCATGCCATATAAATCACAAACCTCGATAAATGATTGTGTTATGCATACTATTATTTAAAGACACATTCTCAAATCAGGTACCAAACAATAACCAACATACATTAAAGTAATATTCAAATAATAAGTTAAAGAAGTAGAAAAAAATCTTATCAAAATTTTGTATGTATTCTTCATCTGTGAGATATGCCTGAATATCTTCATATTTCATAGAATTTTAACACAAAGTATTGGTTTTAAAATCAGTTTAAAAATTCAGAATATGTTACAACATGATGAAAAATAATATTTTTTTCAAAAGCAATACTGTTTTCTTTATTTCATTTACATTTTAAAAACTATACTCAACTTTTCTGTCAATCTTGATTTGTAAAATAATTACACCAATCCTATATGAAGATATAATTATGTTGTTTTTCATAATTTCTGAAAATATTAAATTACTACATTGTTATTATTAGATTTCAATGTATGTAAATCAAAACAAACAATAATTATCAACAAACATTTTAGATTTAAACTACTATCTACTATTGATGTCTAATTTCTGTCAGTAATCACATACTTACATTGACATAGTAGTTAAAAATATTAAAATAACATTAAAATTTGATTTTTTGTTTTTTAGTTTTGGGGACATATCAAGCTGTGTTCAGGGATTTTTTTCTGGTTCTGTGCTTAAGGATCACTTTTGGCAGTGCTCAGGAGAACCAGATGGGGTCCCAACAAGGTAAGTGCCTTAACCTTTATATTATTTCTCTTGGTCTCAATGGTAATGTTTTAGAAAATTCACTGTCCCTGTCACTGTCCTTCCATTGTTCATCCATTTGCTCGCGCAGGCCCAGTAACATTTTGAGACTTGTTGTTACTGTGTTTTGTCATATCATGGGTAGCTTATCAGGCTTTGCTGTGCAGGTGAAATACTCTTGGTAGCTTGCAGGGCTCTTCGAGAGAAGCGGACGAATGGAAGGTGGAGGAATAGAACTTGGGTCGGCCAGGTTGGTCGCGTGCAAGGCAAATGCCCTACCTGCTGTGCTAAAATTTTTAAAATTCTTATTGAAAACACCATGATTTACAAAGTTGTTATTATATAGTTATTTCAGACATTTAGACTTCCGATACTACAAGTGTGACCTTTCCTCCACCAATATCTCCGTTTCCCCTCCCATCCCCAATGTGCCGCCTTAGGCTCAGAACAAATTATATTACCTGTTCCAACAAAACCTGTTCCAACCTTAAGAAATGGAAAAAAATCTTAGAAGGTGTGGGGGTGCAAAATATGTATCAGAGACAATCTTTATTAACATATTCTTAGTAAAGGTGATACAAATATTTTTAAAAAAACATGTGTTTAAAAATTAATACATCCTTCATATAATAAGTTAAATTCAGATAAGATTTTCTTAAAACACATAGACCTGTTTTGAATGTATAAAAATAATTAGATTCAAAACATTTTTCTAATTTCATTGGGACCTTAGGTAATGAATTGATTTTTACAGCAAAAACAAAAAAAAGGGAAAACTGAAAATTAAGATAACAAGATTTTTGGATCCTTACTGAGTTTTACATTTTAACGTTGAAGATCTTACAGAATTTGCAAAAGAAACAAACATTCATGGTGACACTGATGTTAAACAAATTTCAGGAAGAAGGCTTTTAAAAAATAATGCCATTAAGGGAGTCCTTATCCTTGATTAGTACAATGTTGGGATGAAAAATGCAGGGAGGCTATTTACTCTAGGCCAGTCAGAAGACAGCAGTGCTAGGGAGTCAGTTTTAATTAGTGAAATTTCCTAGTCTGTGGAAGAGCATTCTTCTGTTGTCTTACATAGTTCTAAGACCTTATGCTGTACTAGACATCCTAACCAACTTTTTATTTATTTAACAAGAGAGAAGACCTCAAACCAGTAACCTCCCAGCCTCCCTTAATTAGCTAATCTGTCAGAAAATACATGGGCCTTGAGCCACTGCATTACCATATAAGCCAAAACCAATCATCATTCTAAAAAGGTATTGCATGCATTTTGTTTTTTTACTCTGTTCTAAGGTTTCCAATCGTTAACATGTCTTCATTAATCACTCACACAAACAAGCCACAGTTACATATATATACATATATATGTGTGTGTATCTCAACAATCTATATCTATAATAATTTTGCAGTTTTCAAAGCTATTTTCTTATTAGCTATCTCACTGCTCTAATGTCACAGTAATGGACATTTATTTCCTAATTCCTTAACAGGATATGTGGCTTTCTTACATAAATTTTTACAAAATTTACTGGATACCCTCTGGAATCAATCAGTAAAGTCCACCAGAAGAAACACATGAGCATGCAGGGTTCTGGAAAGAAGTCTGCAGCTTGGATCCTTCCTGGTTAGGAGATTGATTTGCTAGCTGTCCGGCAATAAAGTGAAGAAAGGGTTTTGCCTATGCAATTCTAAATCATTAACTACTAAACATGTTTTTGCAAGGTCACTTAGCTGCTTCATTTCTGAGCACCCCACTGAGGGGCCATGGCCTTTTATTTCCTTTGGACCAAGGGATGTTTTATTTCCTCCCTCTTAAGTACCCAGGGTGGAAAGACTTCAATGAGCATGTGCTGAATATTGATAAGGGAGATGTTTTTTGTAAACAGTAAACTAAGAAGCAAATCTATACCTTATATTCCTTCCTTTGTTGCTAAAAATTGTCATGATGAAGTTTATCTTCATTAATCATTTAAACTATAATCAAGTGGGTGGCATCAGAAGAAAAGGTTAATATTTTCTCCCACCTGTCCTATCCACTTCCCCAATGTCTTATTAAATTCAAATGTTATAAAATATAATGAAGGAATTGCATCCAGGAATAAAAATTATTATACACCTAAGATTAAATAACCTTAAGCAGTGAACAAGAAGATAGTTAAAAGAAAATATGGAGAAATGTAATCCCATCATTTTCAATAAATAAGGGAAACATATAAAAGTTTTCTTGATAAAAAACATGAGTAGATGAGCATTCTGGAGCTTCAGAAGTATATTAACACATGTTTATTCAGAAAAATCCAAAGAATACTTCCAGAAAAAATGCTATTATCATAATTTCAGAAAAGAGGAACTTGGAAACAGGGAGATAATACAAGGATTTGAATGCCTGATCTCAGTTCAGTCCCAGCAATACAAGGGCCTTCAAACATTTCTGGGTGCAGCTTGGGAGATTCCCAAACTCGGGAGAGAATGGCCCTGACCATTACTGGGTTGTTCTTGGCTGTTTCTTGCACCCCAAAACTGAGCAGCATCACATTTTTTGGACCAAGCATTGAACCGGGCAGGCCAGCTGGCCAAGACACACTGGGAGAAGCCCCAGGTCCCCGTGAATATATCTACTTACCATCTAAATAAATACATCAGTTTAATCTAAACGAGGGATGGAAAAGAGAATTTGAAAGACATTAAAAGTTAGTAATAATTAGATGTCAGATGGATAAGGGAATTGGAGCCCACACCATACATCGCACTATGTTTCAGATTGGCCACATCTCACAAACAATACTAGTGCATCCAATCCATCCCTTAAAATGTTATCAACAAGGACTCATGTCGCTGGATTGAACTAGGAAGTACCTACTTTTCTTCCATTAGCTTTTTTAATGCAGTGCCCGCTGGACTGACTCTCTTCCAGTAGGATGCTGGACAGGACTGAAAAGTCAACAACTTCTTCTGCACTTATCATACCTCAATTTCCTTGCTCTCAAACCCACCCACATGTACTATATGTGAATCTGTGGACCCACAAGATGGAAATCCCTTTTTATAGAAAGGGCTTATAAGACTCATAGTGGTTAGCAGTAAGCCTCAACCTTAACACAGTACTATTTGTAGAGGGAAGGGAAAGATCTATATACAAGAACACATGCAGTTCTCATACTAGCATTGTATTCGTGTGGTGCATTGTTGAACTAAAATATCAACAGAATATTAAGTTTACATTCTCTCTCATTAGTAAATAGGAAAAAATGTTTTCCTTATAAATTGTTTACGTGTACAGTTAAGAAGTGAACATTTCTTTAATAGTCTGTATGTGTATCTATATAAATTGTATATAGATACATATATACATATATACACACACATATATATATATATATATATATATATATATATATATATATAACCGAAACTATCCTGCCCGCACGGCAGAGTCTGGCAAATTTCCCGTGTTGTACTCAATATGCCAAATACCAGTAACAATGATGGGTTTCATTCTCCTAATCCTGAAAGAGCATTGAAATGGCTCTTTTAAAATCTCAGGGCTAGGAAGAATGAGACGTTACTGGTGCCTGCTCGAGGAAC